ATTAAACGGGAAAATTATTTCAGGTTTCTGCAAGGTCCAGAGACTGATCCAACGACGGTAAAGAAGATTCGAGCGGCTATTGATAACCAAACCGAAGTAACGGTCCAGCTCATAAATTACACCAAGAGCGGTACTGAGAATTTGATATTCTTACATAATTCAATCGATCAAAATGTATTGTCTCTTTAAATTTTACTTTGTTTTCTCTGTTTCAGGGAAGAAGTTCTGGAACATTTTCCACCTGCAACCTATGCGTGATCAGAAGGTACAACGATTAATATAGATACCTTGCATAATACGGCATCTTTAAGTTAATCCGAACTTGAACAGTTTAAATCTCGGATTCTTCAGACTGTGAATTTTAAGCTGGAGATATGTTGTTGACAGGGAGAAGTACAATACTTTATTGGAGTTCAATTAGACGGAAGCAAACACGTTGAGCCAGTCCGTAATGTCATTGAAGAAGTTGCAGTGAAAGAGGGTGAAGAGCTGGTCGGAACCCTAATCCTTGCTTGAATCTACATTTTCCACCATTATCGTTTGATTGAAGATTGTATGGTTAACCATAATCTGAACTTTTCAGGTGAAGAAAACAGCTGTAAATATCGATGAGGCTGTACGAGAACTTCCTGATGCTAACATGGTAAGTGATTGATTAAGCATATGATGATTTTGTGAGGACATAAACTGAATGTTTTCTTGTGTCTTGTTTTGAAGACTCCAGAGGATTTATGGGCAAATCACTCAAAGATTGTTCATTCGAAGCCTCACAGGAAAGATTCACCACCGTGGATAGCTATCCAAAAGGTATTGGAGAGTGGAGAGCAGATTGGTCTGAAGCATTTCCGACCGGTGAAACCTTTGGGTTCCGGTGACACAGGAAGGTCTGGATTACTCTGATTCTAATCGAAACAACTTACAGAAAACGTTTTTCTCATAATCCCAAACTGATAAATAAATGTCCCGTTTTGTTTTACCAGTGTGCATCTAGTGGAACTCACCGGAACAGATCAGTTATTTGCAATGAAAGCAATGGACAAGTCCGTCATGCTTAACCGTAACAAAGTAACTTCAGTACCTTGCACAACAAGTTTTGCTTCTTTTTTCTGAGTTACATAGCCGCTCATACAATTTTTTGCAGGTGCACAGAGCTAGAGCTGAGAGAGAGATCCTTGATTTGCTTGACCATCCTTTTCTTCCTGCACTCTATGCTTCTTTTCAGGTCGGAAAATCTCTCCATTGTGTATGTATTCGTTTCTCAGTCTCAGGTCACTGATGGATCATGTTTTTCTCTGCAGACAAAAACGCATATATGTCTTATAACAGATTACTATCCAGGAGGAGAACTTTTCATGCTCCTAGATAGACAACCTAGGAAGGTCCTCAAGGAAGATGCCGTAAGGTACAAGTTTTCCTCTATGGACAAAACTCAAACATTTTTTTAACATAAATCATAAACTAACAGGAAACCTGATTAAATTTTCAGATTCTACGCTGCCCAAGTTGTCGTTGCACTCGAGTATCTTCATTGCCAAGGTACATTATTCAATTTTCTCTTCAGTTACACACAAAACTTGAGACACAAGGAATCTTGTCTTGATATGTATGTTTCCAATGATATGTATTTTCGTATTGATTCAGGAATAATTTACCGAGATTTGAAACCGGAAAATGTGTTGATCCAAGGAAACGGCGATATCTCCTTATCGGATTTCGATCTGTCTTGCTTGACATCTTGCAGACCTCAGGTTTTCTCTCAACTTTCTCCTTTCTCCCTATCAAATTCTTGTAAAAAAAAAACGTCTGCTAGAGAGTTTTTAATGATCTAATTACGTGTGGTCCATGTATTCCGCAGCTGTTGATTCCGAGTATAGATGAAAAGAAGAAGAAGAAGCAACAAAAGAGCCAACAAACTCCAGTCTTCATGGCTGAACCTATGCGTGCATCAAACTCATTTGTTGGCACTGAAGAATATATTGCTCCGGTTAGTGTAATTACTAACTTAATTGTACCGTTTAAGCTAATATTTCTCTATTTTAACTGGTAAAAAAATGTCTCCTATGAGTAGGAAATTATCAGCGGAGCAGGGCATACAAGTGCAGTGGACTGGTGGGCTCTTGGTATCCTTATGTACGAAATGTTGTACGGATACACTCCTTTTAGAGGAAAAACCAGACAGAAGACTTTCGCCAATGTTCTTCAGAAAGATTTGAAGTTCCCAGCTAGCATTCCTGTAATGGAGATCAATCACTCTTGTTATATCAATTAATGGCATGTAAAAATGAGATGTTTAATTGTTTAATTTGTTATGGGGCTTGCAGGCAACTCTTCAAGTGAAACAGCTGATCTTTAGGCTGTTGCAACGAGATCCGAAGAAGAGATTAGGCTGTTTTGAAGGAGCAAACGATGTCAAGAACCACACTTTCTTCAAAGGCATAAACTGGGCTCTGATTCGATGCACGGTAACTTTGAAGTTTCTCTTTACTTGGGACAGAAGAATACAGTTTATGTTTACTTGCGAAAGAAGAAACATATTGTTTTCTTATGAGTTTGTTTCGATCTGCAGACTCCTCCGGAGCTTGAAACTCCGATATTCTCCGGCGAAGCTGAAAACGGAGAGAAAGACGTCGTGGATCCTGAACTGGAAGATCTGCAAACAAATGTTTTTTGAGATTTGAATTTGAAGTTCTTTTAAATGCTTTCAACTTGCTCTCCCAAAGCTTTGAACGAAATGGTTTTCTCATTCCTTTTCTTTTTCAATTTTTTTTTTTTTTTATTTTATCGTTATCTGTTTCATTTGTGTTCTTAAGGTTTTCTTGTATTATGTGTTTGTTTGTGTGATTTCTTCATCAATGTTTTGTTACCTGTCAATAAAATTAATCAAGTTTTGTTTACGTTTTGTTTGTTTAATTATAAAATGGCATGATGAGATGAAGTTGCTAATTATTAAAAGGAAAAGAAATGAAGCTTTTATAGATTTGTGATTTGGTAAAAAGACATCTAAAAGGAGTTTTGAAGGCCATGAAAGATGATGGAAGCTGATTGATGTGAGCATGAAAAGCACATGTCAAATGTGAATCAACCGACATAGAAGCATGAGAAAGTGAAGCAAAATTGATTTCAAAGGCATTTGGGCAAAAATTTATCACTTTCATATCATGTTAACCACATCATTCTACCACCATAAATGATATTTTTGTTTTTTTTAGTTTTAATGTTAAGAATAAATGAGAAATGTTTTTTTCCATATATACATATTTAAAAAATTAATAATTTTTTTGAATATGTAACCGTCGTGTAAGTTTACCAATATACAAAAATGATGCATCCATTTAGTACTGTACTATTTTATGCATACAAATGTTATTTAGTTAAAGCATTACATTAAATAGTTTTTTTATTAAAAAGGTATAATATTTCAGGATAACTAATATATATGTATATAAAATCGATATAATAGGAAATATAGATTATTTTCTAAAAATGTTATCAGTTTACTATTGGTATAAATACATGAAGTATTGTCACATAAGTAATCACAAGACAAAATACTAATTGTATAAACCTGAAACAATGAGTGCAAACAAGACAAGAGTGTGTATATCCATCTTACTAGTGGGGCTAATGATGTTATTAACTTCTCAAAATACGAAAGGTAATAGTGATTTTGCGTTTGCTCCAGTATCGGAGAAAGGAATATTCCCAAATCCAATGTCTTGTGTAGCAGATGCAAGTAAAATTCCAGATTGTGTAGATGCATTGAAGCAATTCCAACTCAAAACTATCAAAAAAGAATGTTGCATCGTTCTATTTGGTCTACCAGAAGATTGTTTTGGGTTTTTATTTCCAATGCTTTTTACTTATCGAGTAATGCTTAAACTTACATGCAAATTATTAGATTTAAGTAGTTAATCATATTTTTTATTTATTTAACATTTGTTATTTTTTTTTTTAATGTAATAGTTATAATTCATATTTTCAATATTTATAATAAAAACCTATGATTCACATGTTATAGACTGTTATGTTTTGATCATGTAGCATTATTTGACTATTGTTTTAACGTTTCCATCATCTACGCATTTGTCTTGTCAAAAATTATGTTTTGCAAAAAGGAGATTCATTTAAAACAGAAACCTAGATTAAAGAACCCTTCTTGAGCGCATATATGATTCATGTACATAAAGACAATGATTTGTATTAATTTCTTAAATTTATGTCTTTCTTGCACAATGCATATATTATACACACACGTGACACACACATTTGCACATGCACTATTTTATATCCAATGTTGAGTTAATTTTCTTCCAGATCCTACAGTTTTAACAATGAAATGCCCACTCCCGATTACTTCCGTGTTTCCGTTTGCTTACAAACTATTATATTTGTAAACAATACCTGATTTTCATTACTAAGTTTGTTTTCTTGGTTAGTTACACAAAAGCAGCTTACTTTCTTCAAATTAGAGACCTTTGCAGATATGACTTGGCAAAATGAATCGTTTGGCATATGTGGCATGGTCTGATGTTCTCATTGGCCAATTAATCTGCCTACATGGAGTCCCTGAGAAGAGCCAAAATCTTTCATTGTCTCATCTAAATTTGTCTCCGATCCAGGTTCATTTCTTGGATTCTATTATCTTCTTTCCACTTTGACCAACTTCCTCCCAGAAAATTTCCGGACTTTCTGTCTCTTCTTACTTACTTGGTCCAAGTTTTTGTTTTTCCCATTTTTCTCCTCCTTTGATTAATTTGTCTCTCTACTCTCCGCTTACTCGTACTCTGATTTCACTTTAAAAATTCGTCCCCTTTTCTCCTTTTCTCAGAGAAAGTTTCAGTCTTTCTGATTCTACCAGGAAATTTCATCGATTTTCTCTTCACTGACAAATCATTTTACAGCGAAGGGTTTATCGCTCTCTGTTAGCTCTACTTCTCTCCGGGAATCAAAATCTCCGCTTTCCTGGAAAAATCAAACCTTTTTCAATTCTTTGGTTAGTAATGGCGTCAAGAGAAGTATCAACGATGATCAAACAAGGGTTTATCTCTGATCCTCCTCTCTCTTTCTCTCCTTCAAGAACCGCGTCTCTCTCCAAACCCCCCATTTCCTCTCCTCCTCCATCGCCGAACGATTCCACTCGGTCGCGTCGCTCAAACCCGACCCTTCTCGACATGATCTCCGACGAGCACAACCGCGAGACCAGAAGATACCAAGACGAGCCTCGGAGGAAATACCACGCCCGCGTGGCCAAGATCCTGGCGGATTTCAAGAACGGCGTGGGAGCTGGCGACGCGAAGCTGACTCTTGTTGGCAGAGACGGGCACAGAGCGACCATGGATGTGCACAAGAAGGTTCTATCAGAGAAGAGCAAGTTTTTCATGGAGAAGATGAAGTCTCGAAGAGAGAATGGCGTCTCTCAGCCTCACATTGTGGAGTGTGATGATGTTGAGACGTATGTGGAGACTGTGGTGTTGATGTACTGCGATGATCTCAAGAACAAGCTGATTGGTGAAAATGTCTTCAAAGTCTTGGCTTTGCTTAAGGTAACATTTGCAACTCCTCTTATATAGTGTGAATTTGATTCTGGTAGATAGATTGAAAGGCCTGAATTGGAATCTCAGGGATGATTAGGATAGAGTAATTGATAATCCATGTCTCTCTGAATCTCTTGATCTTTTTGTTCCTGAGGAAATTGAAGGAAAGTGGAAACTTTTGTGGACTAGTTTACTCACAGAAACACTGTTTCTTGATGCATCTTTTGTGTGATTTAGAAATGCTCATTCGATATCATTTAGTCTGCGCCAAGTGAATCTTCTGTATGTATGGCTAAGCCAAATCTGAGAGCTTTTTTATCACCAAATGGTTTCATTCTCTCGCTTCTGAGATGGTTTAGTCTTTTGCTTTATAGGTTTCTTCAGCTATAGAGTTTGAGGAGGGGATAAAGTCATGCCTGGAGTACTTAGAGGCGGCTCCATGGTCAGAAGAGGAGGAACAAACCGTTGTGTCTTGTATTGAAAAGCTTGATCTTGCTGGTTCAACCGCCAATTCGGTTCTGGAGAGAGTATCAGTATCATCCACTTCCAAAGTACAACCAATGACGTCTTCTTGAAACTCCTTACCAATGTTCTCAAGGCCAAAGACGATAAAGCTCGCCGAGAAATGAAAGCTGTGATCTTTCGGTTGATTAAGAAGAGCTGATCATAATGTGTCTAAAGAAATGCTCTACAGTCTGTGTCACCGATGTCTCCTCTCACTTATCCTCTGCTTATCAGAAGTCACATCCCACGTGAATGATCCTGGTGATTTGGTTGGAGAGATCTCTAGAGAAGCTGGTAACTTGCTTTGGATAGTCGATATACTAATCGAGAAGAAGATCTGCGAGGAGTTTGTGCAGCTATGGGGGAGCAGAAGGAGCTAGCGAATCTCCATTCCAAGATTCCTGCAAAGTACAGACACGAGATAAGCAAGATCACTGCACGGATCTGCGTTGGAATTGGTAAAGGAAAGATCTTGGTGAAGAGGGAAGCTCGGTTTACGGTTCTCAAGACATGGTTGGAGGCCATGTACGATGATTTTGGTTGGATGAGAAGGTCTTTTCGAGATCAATGGAGTGGAAAGTGGTGGAGGATGGACTCAGCCAGATGATACTGACATTGTCGTTGAGTCAGCAACAGGTGGTTCTGATGAAGTGGTTTGATCGGTTCATGAGCAAAGGAGATGAATGTCCAAACGTTGAAAGAGCTTTTGAGGTTTGGTGGAGAAGAGCTTTCGTTAGACAGGTCATTGTTGAGCCAAGTGAATAGTGATGCCTCTCAGCTTCCGATTACAACATTACATTGATACTTTTCTTTTTTTGTTAGTCAACAAAGGCTTTACATTTGTGCATAGAAACATCAGCGTGAATATTGTTACATGTATACAAGCTAGGTTTGTGAATTAGTCAGAGTCTTATTACACATATATTGTTACTGAAACAAAGTTGGATCTTTTTACATTCTGCAACTCTGTATTTCTAATGAACACAGAACTCAAATATGACTCAAATATAGACTTATACCAATTATACGAAGTTTCATATACCAGAAGAACACAAAATCATTACAAAGAGTTTGCAAGAACAAAGACTTAAACATTGACATAAAAAAAGAATCAATTAGTTTATTTTCTTCTTCTTTTCTTCATCTTCCTCAAAGCGCAGCAAACGGATGGTTGGCGAGTGAATGAGCAGACCACCTCTTGTAAACATCTCTCTCCAAGCACTTGCTCAAAAAGTCTTTAGCTTGAGTAGACAACCAAACTGGTTGACGAGGCATGAGATCGCTGTGACCAATGATATTGGCCCAATCATCAAAGCAGAGATCGCCATGTTCTCCCCAAACTATTTCTCCGCTTAACATCTCCAGAACAGAACATCCAAAAGCCCACACATCCGCTCCAAAGTCAACCATCCCATGGCTCATCAGCTCCGGAGACATGTATCTCGTCGTGCCTCTCTTGTGGCCATAACCGTCACCGTACTCCATCGACCCTTTCTCCATAGCTAATCCGAAATCTCCGATCTTGGCCAAATAACCGTTAGCTCTAAACCGGAGACTGATAGGGCAGAGCAAGAGATTATCCGGCTTGATATCGCAGTGAACTATGCCACGATCGTGTATGTAATTGAGACCAGATAAGATGTCTCTAGCGAAGAGCTTAACTTCAGACTCAAGCAACTCTCCGTGATTGTCCTCGATCAAGTCGGCGATCGTTTTCCCTGAGCAATACTCGAGAACCAAGTTGTATTGATTCTCTTCCCGAACGATCTCTGCGTCGTAGCAACGGACGACGTATGGAGAATTCAGACGGATTAAGATCCTCGCTTCGTCCATGAGGCTTGTAGCGCGTGAAAGCTCTGCGGTTTTGATGGCTCTCTCTGTTTCATCGGTTTTACTCTTGGCTAGGTAAACCGAACCGTAAGCGCCTCTCCCAAGCAACCGAGATTTGACCCAAGACGATGAATTGCTTAGTCCTCCTCCTCCGTCGTGGGTTACGGCTGAGGATTTCTTAGCTTCGAAGGATGCTTGGGTTATCTCTATGAGACTACTACTCATAGCAAGGCCTATAACTCCTCCTCCGTCGTGGGTTAGTGAAGATTTCGGTTTAGAGGCTTCGAAGGATGCTTCGGTTATCTCTATGATACTACTAATCTTCTTCAAAGGCAGTTTCTTTTTCATGATCTTCATGTTTGGACGGAGGATTATCGGAGATAATCTTGCAGCGAAAACTAGGTTTTGCTTCATGGTGTTGTTACAGCTTCAAATCTCTCTGTTTCTCTTAAAATTCTCTCTCACTAGTCTGATAAAACAAAAGCAAATAAGCTTGTTGTGTGTTAGGGTTTGGTAAGTGTGATGATATATATGATCTACGTTGCGTGGGATGTAAGTTTTCCATTTTTCTTTGCCACAGAAAAAGGAAATTTCCATTCTTCTTTCTGATTTCCTTTTTGTTCCGTCATTAGTAACTAACAGTGATTAGTGTGACTACTAAATTATGAAGCGATTATTAAATATATGGGGTAATTTTACAATATTCGATAAATTATGATGTCTCTGTCACCAGACCTAACGCCTTAAAAAAGTCCCCAAATTGTAAAATCTGGCCACAGAGGAGAGCGATGAAGACAGTCACCGGAGGAGTCATCGCCGCAGAACCAATCTCCGTCCCACAGGCGGCCACGATTCTCTCTAGTTTCGTCTCTTCAAAGAACGGCGCGTCGCAAGACGTCGGCGCGTACCTCCGACGCGCCTCCGCAGCCTTTAGCGAGCTGAGGAGCTTCCACGGCGAGCTGAATTCGCCTCCTTTGAAAGAGACGCAAGTTAGTTCTGATGTTACACATGAGCGGAACGAAGAAAGGAAGAAGAATAAGAAGAAGAAGAAGAAGAAGAAGAAGAAGAAGAAGAAGAAGAAGAAGAAGAGTGAGGAGAGCATTGAAGATGATGAAAGTGTTGTTGTTGGGAAGGTGAAGGAAAAGCTGAAAACTTGTGAGGAATCTATGCAAGTGGAAGTTGAAAACGAAAAGGAGAGGAGAAAAGAGAAAAAGAAGAAGCGGAAGAGTGAAGAGATGCATTCTGTGGAGAAGACGAGTAAGAAGGGAAAAGAGATTAGGTAGTTGAAAGTTGGTTCCTTTGCCATTTTAGTTGAAGATTAGAGATTGGGGTTTTGATAAATCTTCTGAATTTCGGGTGAGTGTAGTTAAAGATGATACTTTGTGACTCTAATGAGGAATCGAATTGAGAAATCATTTATGGGGAACTCTTTATGATGATACTACTTGTTAAGCTATTTTGTCTGCAACTAAAAGTATTTGCTGTTTCGGTTCTCTCCCTTTTGCTTTCAAATATCTATATGTGAATTACTAGTTCTTGAAGACGTTTGAACATGAAGTTGCTTAAGACTCTGGCTCTTGATGATAAACGCTTGAATTGATGTTCTATCTAACTATGTTTGATGGATACTGATACTTTATCCTGGAAAAGCTCGAAACTTTCTATGTTATCTCATACTTGTTGGCACTTGGTGATGCGTTGAGCAAAATGTGTTATGGGAGCAAACTGGGCCGGAGCAAGAAAGAGGATGACTGAGATTTTGCTGTTAAGCTAAAGTTGTGCAAGTGCAGATGATTCTCTCTCGTCAGGTGTGTAAAGTGATGGGACTTGAAACAGGATTTCAGCATTTGGGTAAATCTGCAGGTGGAGGGAGAAGCTTCTCTTCAGGCTTTTTCTCCATCCATAACAAGCCAAGCCATTCTCCAACCCCAGCTGGTGTGTACTTCCAAGTGGCAGAGCAGGAACCACAATCCTGTTACGACTCGCGGTATATGTATGAGGAAGCTTTGTTCCATTGCTTATCATGGTGTTATTTGGTGGATTGCTTGTCTAGTTAAACCTTGTTGGATCACGGGGAGAATCTGGGGAGTGTATTCTGTGAGTCTGTTAGTGAGACTGCAGGAGAGCTGTTGCTGGCATAGCGGAAGAGACATTATAAACTGAGGCTGCAAAGATTGTGCGGTTAGGTCTCTGGCATGTCTTGTTATGATGCTTAAGAATGGGTTTGTTTCCCAATTCCGACCGTGAAAGGAAACCTTTTGAGGCACATTTGCGGGGAAATTTCTTGTATTCAAACTATGCAGCTTATTGGTGAAACTGGTGGCAAAATTTGTGTCGCTCAGAGCTAGAAGCACTGGTTTGAAGAGCTGAAGGATCGATGGTTCTTGATAGATGGTTTCGAGTGAATGCCGTTGATACTCTTTGATGGTTCGTATTCGTAAATGCCTACAACAGAATACCTTTAGCTGAGCAGTAACATAGTGTTCCAGGGAGTCCATTGCTTGTGTATGCATCAGAAGCATTTAAACAGAGCAAGTTCTGCATTACTATACTAAACCAGAACCGGTGAAATTTGTATTGATTGTATCAGGCTTTTGTTAATTTGCCGTTATGCTTACCAAAGATCATAGAAACTTCTTTGTATGGCTCCTTGCTTGGGAAGAATGATAAGTGGGTCGTAGATTGTTGCTCTCCACTCTCTAATCATACAAGATGTTGTCTTTGTCTATAAGAAGTCAGTTGAATGTAGTCTCAGATTAATGTAAAATTTGAGCCAAAATTTTAAGTGGGACTGAATCTGATTTATCAGACAACATACATCTGTAAAGTGTGGAGAAGTCCATAAACTTTGAGTGATGAAACTAACACTACAGTAAATGAAATGTTACAAATTTGTGAGCGAGAGAGGAGGGAGGTTTTAATCCAAAAATCAATACATAAATCTCTCACAAGCTTTGGATGAGAACATGGATTTTGTGAATGATGAACAGGGGTATGAAAGGATGGATCAAGTTTATAAGGATATGATCAGTGGTTTAGGCGTTGAAGATGAACGGTCTGAGTTGGATATTTATCTGAGTGACAAAGTTGAAAATCCTAATACTTTGCTTGGAACAGAGTACGATGTCTTATCTTGGTGGAAGGTAAATGCAGGGAAGTTCCCAATTTTATCAGAAATGGCTCGAGATGTTCTTGCTATGCAAGTGTCCTCTGTTGCATCTGAAAGTGCTTTTAGCACTAGTGGCCGAATCATTGATCCGTATCGAAGTTGTTTAACTCATTACATGGTTGAGGTCTTGATGTGTACTGAGCAGTGGATGAAGGCTGAGATTAAGTTAGGCGAGAAAACATTTGTTTCAAACACGGAGATGCTTGCTGATGTTACATTGCAGGATGAACTCCAGAAAAGTAAGTTCATTTTACGGTTTTCCATTTCATGATTGATGTTTATATCCTAACATTCTGATTTTATATATCTTTTTCAGTGTATCCTAGACCCAACTAGAACTAGAAGTGGATATGGTCCTCAAAGTTCAAAGGTAACATGATTAATAACAACTTAAGTTATTGGGTTTCTATATTGTGCCGTGTTTTTGACTTGATTTGTTTCTGTTGTAACAGGCAATCAAAGATGTCAATGAGACATGGACACGGAGAAACAACGCGTTTTGGACTTTGAGACTCACCACTCTTCTTTCTTTTCATTTGATTGCTTTGAATTTCTTTCTTTATTTTCATTTGGTTGTGTTATGGAATGATATCACTTTGGTAATGACTTTTGTGTTGCTGGTTTTTAGTGTTTGGACGAGAATGATTTGTATTTTGTTCTTAGGTTGAATCAAGTTGAATGGTTGTTTTTTTATTTGTTCGGATTTCATTTGAAGTAACAGGTTATCAGGTCAATTTTTGTTTAAAACAAAGGAACTTACTCCAAACCGAAAGTATTTTTAGATCCGAAAAGTATATCCGGTAATACCCGAATCCGAAGAGAACCGAACCGAACCCGACCCGAATTTTATAATTATCCGAACGGATCCTTTTCTCTTAGGACCGAAATACCCGAAACCCGAAATACCCGATCCGAACCCGACCCGATAATCCGAATGCCCACCCCTACTAGTATTTATCGAATAAGAGAGAAGTAGGTAGAGTACATCTTAATTAATTATTTTTTTAAAAGGACGAAAGTAATATTATTATTACAAGTCTGAGTCAGCGACAAGTGTTCGCGGAGAAACGGAAACGCTCTCTCTCTCTCTCTCTCTCTTCCCCCAACGCCAATACCTTTGGAATCCCTCCCAAACGCTGTCCTTTCTTGTTGTGTAGTACTCGTATTATTATTCTTCTTTCGTCCTCACCTACTTTTTTTTTCTTTTGTAAATTTTGTTTTATAAATAGTTGTAGCTTTGACATAAGTATAAGTGTATAACTATTGTGATCGTAAATATTTCACATAAAATTTTAACTGGTGACAGAGAAAAATCAAAAGAACTTTTCAAAATTTGATCAAGAATACCCCCTAAGCGCTAAATGCTCAAATTTCTTTTTGAGTTTCTGTCTTTCCCATAAGTTTCAAATATTTAATACACACAAATGTTTTTTAATAAACATGATGGAAAGAAAGGACAAAGGAATAAAAAAGAAAACAAGTTGACACACTCTCTTTATTATTCACTCGCCTCTATAAATCCAACCTATCCCCTCTCTCCTCTTCTTAAAACTTGTTTTCTCTTCATCCTCCATCTTCTCTGATCAGTCTTTATAAATCTATCAAATCAGATAAAAACCTGTTTTCTTGCTCCCAAATCCGAAAATAAATTTGTCACTTCTTTGTTTCTATGTGTTTTTAGTAACTAGAGTTTCCCAAAATATTGGATATATCTTCTCATATCCGACAAAGTTTTGAAATATGAGTTGCAATGGATGTAGAGTTCTTCGAAAAGGTTGCAGCGAAACATGCATCCTTCGTCCTTGCCTTCAATGGATCGAATCCGCCGAGTCACAAGGCCACGCCACCGTCTTCGTCGCTAAATTCTTTGGCCGTGCCGGTCTCATGTCTTTCATCTCCGCCGTGCCTGAACTAAACCGCCCTGGTACGATTTTTTTCTATTTTTGTTTTGGTTATCGTCTACAACTCATTCACTAAACCGGTCTCATGTTTGTTTGTTTCTTTTCTTCAGCTTTGTTTCAGTCGTTGTTGTTTGAAGCGTGTGGGAGGACGGTGAATCCGGTTAACGGAGCGGTTGGTATGTTATGGACTGGGAACTGGCACGTGTGTCAAGCGGCGGTTGCAACTGTCCTTCGCGGTGGAACTTTACGACCGATCTCAGATCTCCTCGAGTCTCCGCCGCTGTTATCCTCCGATGAGAACAACCATTTTCGTTTTTCCACCTCTAGATCCAAGCAATCTACGACGGAGATGGAAGAATCTCCGGTAAATCGGAAACGGTTTAAGTGCGAACGGTCTACTTCGCAGCTGGATCTCCAGTTAAACCACGGGACGGCTCTAGCTGCTGGTCCGGTTCCTTTTCTTCCTCCGCCGCCGTTTTGCAAGACGGTTAACGGTGAGTATCCGGGAAGTCCGTCGGAAGAATCTGTAACGACGTCGTGTTGGGAAAATGGAATCAGTGGCGATAAATACAGAAACAAAGGAGAGAGAAAGTTATTAAACCTTTTTGTTTAAAACCGACGACGCAAACTTTTTATTCATACTCATCAGTTTTCGGGAGTCTTTTTAGGGTTTTTTGTTGTTGTGAGGGGAAATGGATTTTTGGTTAAGCCGCATAATTATTGGCTAATTAACGATTTCTCAATCGAGAAATATGATAAATTTTGGGGATATATATCTTGCCGATGAGGATAAATAATATGTTGAGGATGTGTTTGCTTCTTACACATCTTGATTTTCATGTTAGAATTTTCAAAACCTTATATTGTTCTTGTTTCTAAACTTTATATTGTTAACTCACACACATGCACAAATAACGACACTAATATAAATTTACAGAAAACTTAAGTGATAAATTTAAGTTTGAAAGTTTATTTTATTGCAAATTTTGACCGTATGATGAGCAAGCTCACATGAAATATAAAGATCCTATACGAATAAAATCCTATAAAGAATTGACACTTCATTTTGTGGAAGCAGCAGATCGATAATATTGTTCCCAGCTGGGATTCCAAATTTCCAGGTGAGATTAGTACATATATACAAATGTACAAAATGAAGTGTCAATATTGCCAATATTCAAATATAAATGGTACGATGAAAATTAGGTTTTCACGGATAAGGCGGCTTTTGGATTATGCAAAGAGCCACTTCTCATCATCAAATTATATATACACTTTGTTATGAAATGTAGAGATACTTGTCTGTGTAAAATATACGTAACATATCTATGTTGAGAAATTTGAAAAAAAAAAATCTTGAAAAATAACTCTACTCTTATGGATTAAGACTTTTACATCCTTACATTAAAAATGTAAATGATTTTCTTTCAAAAATATATAGGAATAAAGTCACATCTCATTTTTTCGGTTAAATTTGAATCTTATATTTTAATTTATTCAAAAATATCAAATTTAATTTTTGAATGTATGATAATTTTTGATAATATGAAAGAACAAAACTATGCCGACACAAGTTTAACGACAAAAATAAACATTGCAATCGACGAAAATTATCCATCTCAACAACAAACTTTATCACATTTTCTTAGCGGACACCACTGAATTATTAAATCCCAATAAGTCCAAAATTTTATTATACATCTAGAAGCGGTTTCAGGCCCAGCCCAAGTTGAATAGAAAGTGTTTTAATTAAAGGCTTCACAATTGCGACGGATATTACCATCACGACTTGTTTTAATACCAACTCGACCAAGCTTGAGCATGGACTGAACGAAAGCTTGACTAAACGCCTGTCCATTACTAGCCCATAAGTCAACGGTTGGCTTTGACCTACGATCGGTGTATAAAACTTGATCAGACTTGAAAAATCCTTTGCCTTGCTGCAAGTTTTTGTAGTAATCGTTTTCGAAATTTCCCGGTGATGAGTCCATGCCTATCACTTTCCGCGGATCAACGTCTCTAGGACACAACGCTTTGAGTTGTGTCACGTACGTAGCGTTCATCCTCGGTTCTTCTTTGACGTTATAGATCCTGTCGAGGACCGTGGTGCAATGAGCCACTCCAAGCGTATGTGCTCCTGTTTTTTAGATCAAACCATTTAAATTATGAGCAAAACACATGTAATATACTTTTTTTTTATTTGAAACATTCTAAAGACAAAAAAAAAGTCTAACCGGATAGAGCGATCATGTCGTTAAGAGTAAGCCCGTTTTTGGCGAAATGTGAAGTGAGTTTGTTAAAGTCGTCGGTTGGTTGTGGCAGCTTTCCTTGGACGCTAGCCGCCGTCGAGGATAGTCCATCGAACCTCCCCAGTTCGACTTCGTACTTTGGTCCACCAACCTATATTACAATAATGTTTTAGTCTATGTATTTGATGCAATAAATATGCTATTAATTATATAGATAGTATTGGGTATAACGTACGATAGTAATAACGTCACGAGTGGCTATTGTTATGATATCGGCGCAAGAGACTTTGTTACGACAATTTGGGACAGCATCAAGAGCTTGCTTGGCTCTAACGATAGCGTCAAATCCATCTCCAGCCAACGATAAGTTATCGGGATGATCCTTCTCAGCTTTGTTACCTTTGGTTGACGATATCATCACCGATGCATCACAACCCTATGATATTAATAAATTTCATTAGACAAAATTTATATAAATTTTTTGTTATGTATTTAAGCAAGAATCTGGAAGATGAAATGTTTTACATTGACAAAACAATCGTGGAAGTAGAGGCGGAGAACGGCGGCAACGGTGATGGCAGAATGTTGGATTTTTTGGTCGATGGCGTTTCTGACTATATGTTCCACGTCAGGGCAACTTCCGGCGTAGAAGTTACGGCTGAGTTGACCGGAGGAGAGGTTTATGGTAAGAAAGAGAGAGATAATAAGCAGTAAGACATTCATTTTGTTTGCTGCCATTTTTTAATAACTGTTTTAACTCACTTTCTCTCTTTATATATGTGTTTATAGGACTAACGGATCCTAAATTTTATTTTCTTTTGTGGGAAAAAATAAGTGCGTATCCAAATAAGAGGTGTAGTCAACATATATAAGCAGATCATATCCTGCGATATATAATTAGAGGTTGACCAAAAAATTCTATGTTTTGCCTCCCTTTTTTTCAAAGAAACTATTGTTACTAATTGTTCTCGGTTGCTTCTTATAATTTCTCTCAAATTTATTCTCACGATTACAGACTGAACCCAAAAACCGAGATTTATTACGTTTAATTAAGCTGAACCAGCTTCATGAGGACCCATCCTAATCCCCCTAATACAAATGAATGGAAATAAAAATCTAGAAAAAGGTATTCAAATTCAGTTAAAAGCTCCGCAATCACTACGGATGTTACCATTACGACCAGTTT